CTTTATAACTTATTATTATTATTATATTATTTTATTTATTATTATATTTTATATAAGGGTGTGGTGGCTTAGTGAGGTGATCTGGTCATTACTTTACCAAGCAGCAGATCTAGAGTCTGCATCTCTATTCGGGCCACAACCAAAACAGCTTAACGTCATAATTTCATATAACGATAAAGGCTTGTTATTGTTAAAGCTTTAAAAATTAATTAGCTTAGAAAAAAACATTTATTTAACAACTTTTTTTTTTTTACAATATGTATTAATCACTTTTTTTTTGTTCAACTCGAAGCGAACAATTAGTATAAGAAAAATTTTTAATCAACGTATTTTAAAATCATCATGATTACATTATATATCTTTTTTTACATTGATTTAATATATGACAAAGAAAATTAATCAACGTAATTTAAGAAACTATCAAAATCATAAGTATATCAGTTGACATCACCATTATTAAATTTTTAATTTCGTGATATATCAGAAAATTAATTGAGACATCATTTTTTCAAATATAGAGGTTTATGACTATACATTTTAAAACACGATAAGCATACAAATAAAGAAAAACTATTCATTGAACTTGATTTAGTAGCAATAAGATTATATAAATTTTAATTCTAGTAAAGTTACTATGAAAACATTAACAATGAACAAATCTAGAATAGTAATTATAAATCACCTAAAACTAGAAATTAATTTTTAATGCTTGAAAATGATAAATGTAAAGAGTCTTTACTTTTATCATTTTTGAGAATTTCGTCAGGAGCAAGCCAAATAAATTTAACCTTACTTTCTTCTATATTACATAAGGTTGCCCATTTATTTTTTAATGAACCTTCTCCTGTCATAAAATTACCCTTACTCTTTCTATGATTTGCAAGAGAACCAATAGTAACTTGAAATAAAAATAATATTTTACTATAATGATCCCAAATAAGAAAATCTACACCGGGATAATTATCAGACTGTGGAAGGAATAGGGCATTTTTTTCCACATTAAAACTTTCAGTAGGTATGTCATTTCCTATAAATTTTATAATTTGACTTAATTTAAAATTTAAATCATATGCAACAGTTCATTTTCTTCTGAGTTTTCTAATATAACCTGTTAGTATATTTCATAAATTAGTGAAAATTGTAAGAGATGACCTTAAAGAATGGGTGAACTCTTGCTTAGAAAGTAATATCGATTCATGGCAAGTCATAAATTGGAAGGGGTTGTATCTATTATACAAAATACTAGATAAAACACTTCAAAATGACATTAAATTTATATTTGGGATTGGAGAACTTAATGAAAGAGTGCTTATGACAGAAGTAATTCCATTTAAATATTCTACCGATTACTATTGTATAAAATTCCCTGTTCATTTGGATTCCAATGACTATAAAATTTTTGGAAAGCTTGTAACGCAAAATGGTGAACCAATTGATATAGCTATCAAGTTCCAATCTTTGAGTCTAACTGGATTTTCAATAATAATCGAAAATTTCAATACAAATAATAAGTATGTTATCACTTTTTACGCCAGTATGACACTTCTAATTTTCTTTTTTTTTTTATCATAATTTAGAAAGTTTACAGATTCACAAGTAATTTGGATGATGATTAGAATACCCTCTAAGATTGGATTTTATAGTATACACACACGAAATATCCCTGTATTGGCTTTAGGTAGTCACTCATTCAAGTATGAAAATAATCATCATGAATATAAGTTGCATGTTCTGCAAGAGTTGCCAGAAGCCTCTGTTATCTGTTTATCCATCTTGTATCCTTCATTGTGTTATGGAATGAAATTTACTATTCAGGATGACAATAACAATGGCAGTGAAATTAGCATAGTAATCAATGAGAACAAAAGAGAAAACGTACAAGATTCTAATATTGATAATGAAGAAGAAATCAGCAGCGAAAAAGATGACAAGGTATCTGAAGATAACCATGAATGTTTGCTTCAATGTGCTTTCTTCCTGAATAACAGGAAATTATAGAATTTGACGTTAAGGCTGCCTCAACTAACACCAAAACAACGATAAATTTAAGTAGAATAGGGCAAATGTACTATAATTCATGTAACGAATTATATGATTTATCGACAAAATCAATTATTGCGATTTGCAGAATGATTAACTTTGATTTGATCCGTCCCATTGATTGTAAAATGAAATATTCAAACCATTAATAGTTATTTCTATACTTATACACACTAAATAGTCGTGCAAAATGCAATCGGGCAACAATTATGTAATTGTACTGTACATCATTTTGTAAACTAGAGTAAAAAAAATTGATATGCCAAATTGAAGAAACTAACTTTGATTTCATTTTCAATTGAAGGTAATGTCAGTCAAGGCGAACCTAACCGCATTTGTGATGATTCATTCACACTTACGGATAGAAATAAAACTATGCATAGTGCTAAATTAAACAAGAAAATTCAATGCATGTCATTCATCAAACATACCTAGCCTTCCCTTCGCGATTATACTTCCTTTCTTTTCTACTTTC